TGTTTTTCTGCACCACCCCCAAGAAAGTCAAAATTTAAATACACCCTTTGTTTTTTCAAGAAATCGACTATTCTCCTCTTTAGCTCAACTTTGTTTCAACCTACTCTTTGTTCTAGCTATCCTATCAACCTGTTTATTCCCAAGTTACCAAGCTACTTCACCACTGCACAAGTTTAGCTTACATTATCATTAAGAAATTCTATAAAGCTTCTCCACTTTTTACATGAATATTACCTCTGGGCTGATGGATTTTCCAGCCACTAGTCCTGTTGATATATGGCTCTAAATTCTACTTTTAAACTCTGGACATAAAGCTAACGTAAATTATAGTTTTTACATTAAATTTTCTGACTTGTTATAATTCATTCCTTTATTACCCTTAGAGGTTTAAATAGAACACCATACACTAACTTCTTTCTTTGAGTTACACACAATGAAGTCATTATCATTTTCAGTGTATTACTCATGTCTCAAAGAACTGTGAGAAAGCCTACTCAATTCTTTACACATGCACTTCTATGGTCAACACAACTTTTTCTTTGTACAACTATACGTGAGCTGAACTATTTTTACCTTCTTCATTAGCATGAGAGATTTATCTATTTTCTTTGCTAAGAAACAACAACAAAATGATTATAGCATAAATAATAAAAAATGATTCAAACAGCACAGGTTCCAGTGGATATTGGCCATGTGCAAACTTGAGACTTTTTTTTTAACAAACATTAACACAAAAAGTAATGCAAAACTATACAAGTGGATACAAACTATATCACACTAAATGTGGAAACTGTAACTGGTTTATTCAAACAAATTTGGCAAAAAACCAGACAATCAAGCATACACCTGCATTTACAACTATTATGTGGCAGTGATCCAGGAAAAGAACAGATACAAGGATTAGTCAAAATATGAACATGAGGTAAATGATCCAAATTAAAAAACAGCTTTACTAATCTTGCTAAAAAGTTAATAAAGTTGCTTTATTTAGTACTTATCCCCATGTGAATGTGTGTCAGTAAACAAGCTGGAATCCAACTGACTACAGAATTTCTAAAACAGAGGAAAATAAACATGCTTTTTGTGATGGTGTATATATATATGTGTGTGTGTGTGTGTGTGTGTGTGTGTGTGTTAATAAATATTCCATAAAATATTTTATAA